TACTGACTCGAGCGGATATCTTCTATACAGTTAAAAACATAGACATATTTAATTCATACCAAATGGTATCGATAAAAAACATGAATTTTCGGAGGTTCTAGGGGGACCTGTTGATATCTTAATTCATAAATGACTTCTAGATAATTATCAAGCGTTCTTTGCGGATATACTGTGATTTTTATCTAAACTATTTTGGATTTTCATTTTTTGCAAAAATAACACAACACTTCAACACAAGAAAACCCATTTCCATGCATCATATATTCATACATATATATGAAGTGATAGATACGGACTAGGAGAATACTTTAGCGCATACATAAATCCGGGAACCTGAAGGGGGATATGTATATCATGTCGTGGATAGAAGTAAGGCTGTGATTACTCCCTTAGTCTCTTCTGTACACTCGTTAGTTTCAGGTTGCATCGTATATTTCCAGTCACCGTTTATCAAGCCTTCCTAACAGTTTCACTGAAAACAACTAGATCCAACACAGCTAAGTGCCAGAGTGAAGGTTGCTTATGTTAAAACTGTAACTACATGTGAGAAGGGGATAAAAAGAAATTAAACACTATGATTTATTTTTTTCTCTCGCTTGATTCCACTAGAATTAAAGGTATGGAGCACCATTAATTTCATTCCGACAAAGCCGGTATTTCACGCTTACGTGCGTTGCTCATCGTGGTTCAGCCGCATACCCCATGAACGGAGGGACGGGCAAGTTTTAGCGCAAGAATTCATTGTGATGCAACGCCCAACTCGGAAATTGAACGGGAACAAGAGTGCGTGTGTGTGTGCGAGACAGAGAAGACTAGCTCAATCGTTCGTCTTGCGCGTGGCTGGGTCAAAACGCAGTGAAAGGGGAGAGGCGGATGCACTGAACGGAACGAAATGGAATGAGTCGAGCTCTGCCGAACCAGTAGTCCTATTTAGCCAGAACCAAGCAATTTCGTAGTAGAATGGGACTGGTATGTGGGACGGGACGGGGCGGAAGGAAGGAAGGAAAACGGGCCGTGTTTGCGTGTTCACCAGTCACAAATCGAATGCAAATCGGACAGAGCCGGAAGCGTATTGAAATCGCGTTGTGTATCCATATGCCTGTCCTTCGCTCATTTTGTAAGTGTGTAGTGGTGCAGAATTGCGTGCAAGTGTACTTTTCTTACGCCCCTCCTCCCATCAACTTTCATTGAAGAAGGAAAACGGGGAAACAATCAACAATAGCAACAGCAGGAGACCCAACAATGTCACCACCACCTCCATTTGTCGTACGAATAATGTCAGCAATTGTGCATTGGGCTAGGAAAATAGTACGGCAATCCCGGAGTGTAAGGGCGAGCGCCAAGACGATACAAATGACAAGCGCGTGGAACTTAAACAGATCGTCAGTATAATCATGCACCTATATGCAGTGTGTGGACACAAAAAGCACATACACTTATCGAGTCCTTGAACCATGCTCAGAACGAGTGTGGTCAAAACGCACAAGCGGACGGCAATGCCTGAAGAACGTTCACCTATAAATTAGATGGGTTTATGTGTATAGTGATATATCGATCACTTCTGTTGAGAAAAAAGGATGAACAAAAATAGGTGTACTACAATCAATACAAAATCAAGCCACCGGGATGTTGCGCAACGATGCGTTTATTCTTACGCGATCCCAATTGATGTTGACTAAATTAGGCAGTGGTGATTCATATTACACCGGTAAACATCGAGAGGAACGAAGCACTCACCCGACACTCTTCGCATTGAAATTCCCCGGTCACATTCAAATCTAGGTCCGAATGCTTTTTACAAAATGATTTATCCAACAGTCGATCGAATTCCTGAAACATCGGTTCCAACCGGTCACGAATTTGCTGATTTGCCACGGTAAGGCTACGCACACAAACGTTCGGTGAACTGAGAAACACTTCAAATAGGCTATCCGAGTTCACATAGTTCAGTGAGTGTGTCCCACTTTCTCGGCACGTACCCGATCGGGCTGCATATAAATCGGTTGGATGATGTGTTCGACTATCATGGGCCAGTGTCGTATTAGGCAGCACGTAAAGAAATGGAATATTTAAACATAACTCGTGTCGGACATGTTCCCGAAGATAAGCAGCTCGAGCGCATGGATCTGGTAGTCGAGAACAGATAAAGTGAATCAGCGCAGGATTCAAAAGCTGAGTCGTAGTAGATATCGCGGATGTTCCCGTTCCAGTGCCAGTCGTAGTTCCGTAACTCGTGTGGGATTGTCGTGTGAAAACCCTTTTGTGACGCACACTGACACGTGCAACACGTCTAGTGTTAAATGTGGAGGGTGATTTTCTCACTATATGGCCTTGATTAGAGAACATTGCAACTGGCGAAGGATCCCGCATGAAATCACGCTGGGATGACACAACTTGACCATCAAAATGGCTGGCGTGAGTTGTATTGGTCATTGTAGATAGATCCGAATCTGAACTAACACAGGTCAGCCGCCAGCAGAGAAAGAAGAACAATGTGAGTAGTAGATGGATGGATTTAGGCCTGATCGGAGTTGCTGAAACAAATGAGATCGTCCCTCCTATGGACGATGGGGGTGCGGATAGTGTATGACACGCGGGTAATGAGATTGCTAAATGGAAGGCACGAGTGGCGACTGTTCGCGGTTCGAGTGGGACGTGGTGTGAGCAGGGCGCACAGTGGCACACAGAAACAGAGGCAGTTTGTAGATGTGGCACAGAATCGCTTGAAGGATAGCTTCTTCGAACTGGAGAAACGAGGAACGGAGCACCATGATCTCCTGGTATGCACATCGCTTATCCTGGCGAACAGATACACACCACCATGCGCATTGTGTCGCTGGCCACAGACGCACACGTACGCACGCACGCCAATAGTCAAACACCTCTACTAAGCGTGCTACATTCACTTTCCATCCAATGCTGCATGCAGGCTGAAATCGAAAAGAAAAGTGTAAGCGAGAAGCCATAAATCTGCTAAAGTATAAACTGATGCGATCAACCATAAGATATCTCTCAAGCGATGGGAATGTCTTCCATTAAATCAATTAACAAGGTAACAAGGTAACTTGGATATGGCACTGTAAGTTCAGTCAACTTTTAAACTTCAACAATAGGGCTTTAGCTAATGTTTGTTATATTGCACATGGTAAACTTGGAAGCAAAGCAAACGTTTGGTATAAGATAAAGGAGGTGAATAAATTTAGTGAAGGAGGTAAGCACGAGAGAAATGGAAGTAGATCAAATGTACTCGGTCGCCGACATTTAAAATCGAAAACCAGCAGCAGACCAGCGAATGACTAAACACCAGAAAAATGTGTCTGCAGTAGTTTACACTGAAAATTTGAAATGAAAAATGCCCCAACGGGACCGTAATGTCAGAAAGCAAAACAAGACTACAAAATCAGATCTAACGTACATGCACTTCAGGAAAATACTGACGTGATTACTATTAATTCCGAAACAAAAAAATCAAAAATAGTGTCAGATCAAAGTGTCAACTCTGTTTCGGCAATCTGTTAGGTAATAAGACGTGCCATACTGAACGATAGTGTCCGTAAACTAAATTATGGTTTTTAAACTTAGAGTAGCAGCCAATTTTTCATGCCAAAACGACCGCATTTCGACAGCCATTTGGTCAGCGGACTACAGCTGATGAAGGTGATTGAAATCGTAAAGTTCTAATGCTCTGGATTTAATCGCTAAATGGAATTTCCTATTTCGCAGTGAGGTAAAATCTGATCGATCATCTCTGGGCTTCCTGAGCAAGGATCGCGTTCCTAATCCTCTTTTATTACGCTGATTTATACTGCCTCAGTTGAGCGAAATTGAAGCATTCACAAAACGCTCTAGGGTATTTTTCAGTTTCAATTTCGCTTTGTACAACCACTAACCATGTACTTCCGTGCGCCACGTTTTTGACTGCCTTTTGATAGCTCATTTCGATGGAGCAGTATGAGGAAGACAGGAAAGTGGAAAGTAGAGTTGAAGAGAAAATGCAGAATTTCAGTGGACTAATGTTACAAAGAAATAGAGAACATGCACGAATGTCACTGTTTGCAACTCCCAGGCATATCACTCAGTGTCTCTAACCACTGATTACGCTAATCCCGAGCTCCCCATCCAGGGAGCCTAACAGAACCTATGTGAGTCAGGCTTTTGGTTAGGGTTTTCATACTCTCGTGTCAGGTCTTCGGTTGCCTGTTTTCTACCCACTACTTGCCTCGCTAAACATCGTGCGCCGTGGCAACCTATTGAGTGACATGCGTAACACATGCCCCACCCAACGTAATCTATGGGGGTCAACCACTTCTCCTAGTATGCGACCGCGGCTACTGTCCGCCCAACCTCAGCACTGCTCGTCCGGCTTTCCCACTAGTCTTGTGTCATGCAGCGTAGACAGCGATGTTCAAGTATCGACAGTCTATTTTTATCCTGCTTTTTAATGGTCACGTTTCTGCGCCATAGAGCAGGACTGGCTTAATTGCCGCAACATATACTCGACTCATCACGAACAGCCGGATTTTGCAGCGACGTCACAGATGTCTCAAGTTGGTAAATGCCAACCGAGCCTTCTGTATGCAAGCTGACACTTCATCCGTGATGCCTCCACCGGGTGAAGTGTAGCTGCTCAAATTACTCACCATATCCACTTGCTCTATTACTTCCCCAGTTAAAGTGAGGCTAGTTTCCGTACCAAACCAGTAATGTAGTAACATTTAACACTTTGAAGGTGCAAAACGAATACTGAACATCGCTACACTAGGACTCAAACTATCCAGAAAAGTGAAAGCAATGTTTTCCCATCACGAGTTTAAATAAAGAAGTCAGAAACATGGGTTTGCACAATGTATCCATGGTCATTTCGCTGCATCACGCTGTATTTCACGGTGGTTATCTCACTGACTATATAAAAATGACTTTGACTGCAGTATGCACGTGTACAGATGCAGCGAAATGACGATGGATACATTGTGCAAACCCATGTTTCTGACTTCTTTATCCAGAAAAGCTTGCAACTTACGTGGATCTTTATTTAGCAGTAGAATGTCGTCTACATATTACAGATCGCACAGTTTGTCATCTGGGAGCAAATCGATGCCACTATCCTCGATCGAGGACAAGGCTGTTTCAAGAATTAAATCTCTAACAAAGTTGAATAGGAAAGGAGAGAGAGTACAACCCAGACGTACAACACTTTCCGTCGTGAACTCAGGCGAAAGTATACTGTAAGCTCGGACTCGACTTCGGCTATTAGTATAAACGGATCGTAGCATAGAAATAAATCTCTCGAGCCCACCCTTCAGGGAAAGGCAGCGCGAGTTTAGAGCGGTCGACTGAGTCCAAAGCCGCATTCCGATCGACGAAGACAGATATGGTAGGTCTACGAAAAGAATGTCGGTGCCCCAAAATTTGGCGAATAGTGATGATGCGATTGATACAACCTCTACCAGACCTTGGGTTCACCCTTTTGCCCATGGGACAAGCTAAAGATGGACACGGCCTGAACGGCGTTTCAGGGGCTCCGAACCGCCCTGTGGCGTCGGAACGAGATCAGTCTCAAAACCAAGCTCAGGGTGTTTGCCTTAGCAGTCCGACCAGTCCAACTATACGGCTGGGAAACATGGTCGTTGAGAGCTGAGGACATCAGGCGATTAGAGGTCCTCAAGAACTGGTATCGCACACCTCCGTTAGTGTTCATCACCTTGAGACACTTATCGCGCCAACGCGATCTAGCTGTCTATGAAGAGTCCAGTGTAAATTTCATCAGTTCAGACGTTACTTTTGTGTGATACAGAGACAAGTGTGATGGGAATAGGATAAATATGGGCTAATCATTTCAGTAAAAAGATAATGAAACTGATTTATTGCTCTATTGCACCGTTGAATTTAATCCGCACCCATGTTCTCATGTAAAACTTCAAAAATAAAAATCCGTGCACTTTATCACACACATTTGGTCACACCGATGCATTTTCAAGTGGCTAAAGTGCATGATTTGCACTACGTTTACCCCTGCGCTTGAGATTTTTGTTCACTCTAGACTAACGAGAACGTAACAGTATAAGAAAAGGGCCCATTTAGGACAAAGCGAGGAATGACAAAAATACACAGATAAAGTCGTTAAATTTTCAACAATCGCTTAAAAAACAGAAAAATATAAACGAAGTAGTTAAAGCAGTAAGTATTTCTATTACTTTAAGGATTTTCAAGCAGGTACTACGATAGATTTGATTGCACAGGCCCTTTTACTCCATAGAATGCCTTTTTTACTAAAAACATCCTTGTATTTAAATAAACAGCACTCGATCCGTAAACCATTTCAACAGCTTAGGCTTCTTACTAAGAGGGTTGTCAGCAGCAGCGTAAACCGTCTATGTCATTTTTGGTATTAGAATTGCAAGTCTCTGATTTTTAGAGACAAAGTTGTCAACTATACACACTCCTTTGGCACCAAATTCAAAGATTTGGGTTCAATCTCTGGCGAGAAAAAGACACCAATAAAGCGAGAGAGGGTTTGGTTAAAACGAGAAAGATGAACGGAAACCAAGTACGAAGAACAACAATGAAAATTATTTATTTTATCTCATTTTTGTTTACCTATTTTTGTGCTCGTTAGTCGTTTCATGGGGCAGGGGAATTCAACAGATAGGCCGTATAGTATTCATTCATAGTTACAAACCGGTGATGAATATACACATTTATATATAGCATTCCTGCCACCGTGTTCTATTCTGAGCTATATTTCTCAGAGTCTCCAACTAACATCAAACAACAAATAGAGACTAAAACGGCTTTCAAGCGTTTTTCCCGGGCCATAACTGCACTAAGCCCAATAACTAAAAACTAATTGTAAAAATGTAAAGGCCTATATTTGGGTTTGCTGATAAACATTAGCGACACTCACATATTTTTAATTTTTCTTCTTTTTTCATTTTTACTTTCTTTTATTGAATATACAAACATAAAATGTTCAGTAAGGAGGTAGCGGTCAATCGAAGGGCTGCCATTCGACACACAATGGGGAAAGTTAGGCAGTGGTGGTGGGATTCGAACACATCCCCGAGGTAATAATTTGGTGACGTTACCACCGGGCCACCACCGCCCCGCAATATTGAGCGTTGAACAACAGGGGTCAACGCCTTGGTTATAAAAACCCATCGTTTATTCGTGATACTCGGCAAATTAAGCTCTGGGACTCGAAGTGGATGTCCACATAAGACCCCGATATAACGGAAGTGGTACTGGGTCAGAAGTCAGCGGTGCCGTAAGACACTTGTATCTCATCCGTAGGTAATCAAGCATATTTTTATTAACCTATCATTCATCCACTTGGACAAATTTAGTGCATTTTTTGCTCATAGTGTGACCAAACGCAGGTATATAAGGCAATCAACTATTTCTTGTCAACTTGAAGTAAAACAAGGAACTATTCT